AAAGTCGAACCCCATAATTTTTACATATTTTTTTAAATTTTATTGAATTGAAGCAAACAATGTCGGAAATAGCACCAAATTTTAGAATAAGTTAAGATTTGTTCGAATTGGTCACCTTTGGTACGAATTGTGACCTTCAAACGGCCAATGAAACCGTCACACGCTGCTTGAATATTGCTCTGCGGTATTTTGACCCATTCCCGGCAAAGCGCTTGTTGGAGGTGATCGACACTTTGGTATTTTTCAGTTACAACCTTGCTTTCCAAAATACTCCAGACACAATAGTCCAACGGATTGGTATCCGGAGATTTCGATGGCCATTGTGCGCTGGAAATGAAGCGAGGAACCTCATTTTGTAACCATTCTTGGGTGGCGTGTGCTAAGTGCGATGGTGCTGAGTGCCAACCTTGCTTTCCAAAATACTCCATATACAATAGTACAACGGATTGGTATCCGGAGATTTTCATGGAACCTCATTTAACCATTCTTGGGTGGCGCGTTGCTGAGTGCGAAGGTGGTGAGTCCTGTTGGAATGTCCAAGGTCTGCGGGCAAAATGTTTCCGTGCCCAAGGCTTTAATACACCATCCAGAATATTTTTCCGGTAATTTTCGGCATTTATTCTGATACCTCGGTCGATTAATACGAGCGGAGAGTGACCATCGGCTGTTGTGGCGGCCCACACCATCACCATGGTCGGCGCTTTAGTTCTGGTGGTCAACCGAAGGTGCACATTTTCAGCTGACCTCTTTGGCAAGTAAACATGATTATTATGTTTGTTTACAAACTGCTGCATAAGAAAACATTCGTTTCTCATCGGAGAAACCCAAATCCGGCAATTCACCAATTTCGTCCAAGCGAAGCAACTCTTTAGCTCTTTTGAGTCTATTTTCTTTCTGTTGCGGTGTAAGTTCTTGCACTTTTTGGAATTTCAATGGCTTTATCCCGAACTCATTTTTCTATATTTGCCGAATGGAATATTGCGATATATTCAGCTCACGAGCCATTTTTGGCCACTGCGACGCGGATTTCGATGAAGTCGCTTCTTTACTTTTCGAACCATTTCTGCTGATGTTGTTGTTTTCTTCCGTCCACTTCCTTGATGCCGGGCTACGCTATCAGCGTCACAATAACGAGCTATGGTACGAGACACAAAAGATTTTTTTACATTTAAATGCTGGAGAACTCTGACGATAGCCACTTGTGGGTTTCCAGCCAAATATAAAGAAAACACACTATCACGCTTGAATTCCATCACGAATAACTTTTTTTCGAGAAAAATCTCACAAAAATACGGTTAGAATAATTTCAACAGCTTTATTTAAGAGGAACCACTAACTATAATAAGGCACCCCATTTTCAAGTTTCCTGAAGGTACTTCTTCGAGTTCAAGAATTAGGTCCTGTTTCTTGAACTCGAAAGAAAAACGCAATTTTTTGCGTATTTTTCAAAATGACAGAAAAATAAAAATCTTACAAACTTACAAGGGACACATGTTGTTCTTTCGAGTTTACTTTCGACATACAAAGACAGGTTATTGGAAGAAATAACCTCTATGTATGGAAGTTTTGAAAAGAGGCCGCAAGACATTTGTCAATTGGCATGAAAGCTCTCTCTTTTCTCTTCTCTTTCTGTTCTTAATCTTTCTTACACTATTCTTCAGTCGTCCACTCAAAGAGGCTTCTCAGGTATTTATTCTGAAAAGCCCATACATTACTTACTATTACTCTTTAAGGTTTCAGTATTATCGAAAGCAATAAAAGTTTCCAATGATAATGCAAGAGTTAAACTCAAACAATCGATTTTCAAATTCATTTCTTCTTTTCTCACAATATTATTAAGAACTTTTTCAAATTCAAAGAAAAATTAAATGTATGAAAGCATACACAAAGGAAAATAGTCATAAAATGTGTATTATTTTTACAACCTTCAGCATTTTTATTACCTTAGATTTTGCGTAATAATCCTGTTCGAATAGGGCATGGCATTTGCGATTTCAATACAATGGCAAAAAATAATTGTTAACAAGACTGAAATTTAATGGCAACGTCTGGAACACACTTGGACAATAGCATAACATTCATGAGGAAGTAATAAAAATAACGCACACACTCACACACAAATAACGTGTCACATGTGTGCAGTTCTCAAATCAAATGGATATTTTTGAGAATTGCACATATGTGACACTGATTGTATCAGTATAAGAGGAAATGTTAGGTATGGCACACCTTGATGTTTTAACTAAAAAAATATATATATTTTTTGGATCCAATCAAGCAAAATTGAAGGGTTAATGTTAAAAAACCTTTTCAAAATTAAATGTATAGTATTTAAAAAGAACAACACGAAAATCAGAGACTCTGTTATAGACCAGGAGTAGGATGTCTTTATAAATTCATTATAAACTTTTTATAATTTAAAGCGATCGAAAAGAGGTCCCTATAGAGTAGAGGGTGGTTTTATTTTAGACGAACTGGGAAGTTGGAAAGACGGAGTTAGACGCGCTAAGAGGGAGGTTATATACACGAACTGAGATAGATTCTCTACATACAAGCTGAGAGGGAGTTTGTACAGACGAGGTAAGACGAAGACCCTATAGATGCGCTGGGAGAGATTTTCTTCAGAAGAGCTGAGGGAAATATCTTCAGACGAGCTAAGAGGGATTCTCTAGAGGGGATTTGACGGTCTTTTATAATTGATCTGAGAGAGCGAGAGCGAGTGAGAGAGAGAGAGTCGTTATAGACGAGTCTCAGAGTACGATTTGTAAATAATATTTTTATACGAGAAGAGGAGTAGGAAGTCGAGGGGGTTTTACATGATTCCACCATTGCACAGGAGTCGCGATATGATGCGTCGGCCAGCGTTCCTTTAGGATAACCAGAATTCTTAGAGCAATTCAGATACCAATTCGAAGATCAACAACATGGGCTGCACTTCCTTTCTAATTAGGGGTTTAGGACTATCTTACACCTCTGCTGCTAATGGGTCACAGCACCCGATTGAGAATGCCACTCCACATCGAGCCGAAGCTCTACCCGCTATTAAGGTATAAAACACAACCACCGCGTTGCACACTCGCCGTAGTCAGAGAGAGAGGAAGTATCAACAAACAAGACGAAAAGGAGTCTCTATAGACAACCTGAGAGGGAGTCCCTAAAATGGTGCCAGAAGGAATCTCTAATGACAAGCCGAAGTTTTGAAAGACCAGGGGCTTTATTGACGAGAGAAGATGGTTTTCATAGACGAAAAGTAGAGGGTATTTATAGACAAGAGCGAGAGGGTATTTATAGATTTGAAAGGAAGGGTACTTATAGACGAGTAAGAGGGTGCTTTTATAGGCGGACTGAGAGAGAAGGAGTCTTCATAGAGGAGGGGGAGGATTTCTTATTTGAGTATATGCTGGAATCTGTATAGACGAGCTGTGAAGGAGTCACTATTGACGAATCGGAGAGAGTCTCTGTAGCCGAGCCGAAGAGGGAATCACTATTGACGAGTCAGAGAGGGTATCTATAAACGAGGCGAATGCTGAAGTCTTCATAGACGAGAGAGTCTCAATAGACGAGCTAAAGCTGGGGTCTCCATAGACGAGTATAAAACTGGAGTTTCCATAGACGTCCTGAAGCTGGAGTCTCTTCAGTCGAACTGATGGGAGTCTCTTTATTGACCTGCTGAAACTGGAGTCTCTCTATTGACCAGATGAATTTGGAGTCCCTTTATTGACCAGTTGAAGTTGTATTCCCTTTATTGACCAGCTGAAGCTGGAGACTCTTTATTTACCAGTTGAAGATTGAGTCTCTCTATTGCAAAACTGAAGGTGGAGTCGCTGTATCGACCAGCTGTATTTGGAGTATCTCTACTGACCATTTGATGTTTGATTCTCTCTATAGTGATCAGCTGAAATTGTAGTCTCTCAATTGACCAGATTAAGCTCGAGTCCCTCTCTTTATTAGCTGAAATTGAAATCTCTCTATAGACCAGCTAGCCTGGAATCTCTCTCTAGTCTGGTTAGGAGACCTGACGTATTTTCAAAAAAGCTGAAGCTTGAGTCAATTTGACAGACTTAAGCCTGGAGTCTCTTTAGGCTAGCTGATGCAACAGCTTTATTTTCATTTAACGAGCTGAAAAAGTTCTAAAATGCGATCTCTTTAGACGGGTTGAATGCTATAAGACGAGCGGAAAGGAGTCTTCATAGATAAGTTGCAGAGAAGTCCTTATGAACGAGTTCAAGAGTATTTCATTAGACGAACAAGGACATTTTAATGGCAAAGTGGGAGCTTTAAGGTTTTGAAGGCGAAGAAATTAATTCATAATTGAAGATTGGGATATATTCTTAAAAAGATAGCGGAATGATGTCTTTGATGGCAAAGGGGGCCATCTAGCCAAAAAAAAAATAATGTTTCCCTGAAACATAAACAAAATATTCTAGTAAACTAGCCATGTTGGAAGAGACCGAGAAACCATGTACTCTCCTGAGCCTTAATGGGGTTTTGTTATAGAAATTCGAAATTGGGAGTAATTTATAGCCGGGCTGGGCAGAGGGTCCACTTTTATATTCTCCAATTTTTTGTTACTCTCTTGTAACATTGTTTTTCAATGGTTCTAATTGTGTAGGGAGAGAATTGAGGGCCCGCGTGAATAAATCGTATTTATAGACATGTGTAAAAGAGGGAGTATTAAGACATTAGCAAGAGGGAGCGAGAGAGAATGTTTATAAACGAGTATTTTGAAAAAAAAAAAATGAATAATATTGTTACCATGTTAAGCTCCTATAAAAAATTGAAAGTTTTTTTCTGTGGAACTTTTAAAAACAAAAAATTACCATTAACTAAGTTGATTAAAAAAGAGCTTGTAGAAATTGTCCTACTTCTCTTAATTATCTTCTTAAAATTTACAATATTTTGATATTTTATTTAAAATACCAGATATTAATATATTTTCTTTTTTCCCAACTCCACCCCCATATACATCCCCTTTATCGACTTACCTTCAATAGCTACAG